GATTATACAGGCTGCCGCGCTTGCCAAGAAGGAGGCTGACGCCGCCGCGGCTGCCGCTGCTGCCGCTGCCGCCGCTGCGGAGAGGGAGGCTGCGGAAGCTCAGCGCCGCCGCGAGCAGGAGGAGCAGGAGCGGCAGGTGCAGACTATTTTTCTTGATTGCGTAGTGCAGTATTGTACCTACAAGTAGCTTTGTTTTTGGTGCCTGTCCTATAATGCTGTGACGGTGCCGAAGGTGGCGGGAGGCGTTGGATCCGTGTCGTTGAGGTGTTTCCGATTGGACGAAAGCGCATCGTTTGATTTCGGCATCCTCTCTCCCTTTGGAGCTATCGGGCTTTGAGAATCGGTCCAGTGGGTGTGGTGAGCGTTCGTTATGCAACCTACCGTAGCTTTATTTGTTTGGTATACTCTTACGAAAATGCCTTGACCGGTCGGTAGTTTGATAGTGACTTGTTCTTTTGTGTTTTGCGACGAATTTTCCGCTTTCTTTTGTGTTCACTATTGATTTCGGCGGTGGTTGGGCCTGTGGCCACGCAAGGGGCCCGCGTTAAGTTGGGCAGCTGCACAGGTTGGTTGTAGATATCGAGAAAGGCCGGAAGGATTGATGATGTCGAGACGACGCTGACAACAACGACCAACAGTAGGCAACCGTTTTCCAGCGGGCTTCCCTACACTCACTGAAGAAGGCTTCCGGCAAATACATCCGTTTCGACTGTGATTATTTCCCGAACACAGTGTGGTCTGTCTGTGAGGTTTTGCAGTCTTTCTATAAACAACATTTCCATCTCCACCAGCAGCAGCAGCAACCACCGCAAGAATAAAAGCCACAACATTCTAACACCCACAGCAACAACAGCACCTCCGTAACCACCATTACAGCACCAGCAAGCATCGTGCGCACCCACTTCTGCCGTACCGCACCCACTTCTGCCGTACCGTGCCCCCCTCAAGGCCCGAGAGCGGGAAGAGACGCGTGCCGCGGCGGAGCGGGCGCACGCGGCGGCGGAGGCGGCGGCGAGACAACAGGCCCTGGCGGAGGCCGCGAAGAAGAAGGCCGTCGAGGATGCTCGCATCCGGGCGGAGGTGGGACAATAATCTGTCGTGGCACCTGTCTGTCGGGCTGTCTGTCTGTCGTGTCTGTTTGTCTCTGCGATATCTCTCTTGTATTGCCTCTCTCGGTATTTGTGTGCGTCTGTAGGTCTATCTGCATGTCTCGCTGCGTGTCTGCTTCCTTCTCTATCTCTGGCTCCCTCTGTCTGTCTGTCTGTCTGTTTGTCTGCCCCCCACTTTTTTTGGCACGCGATTTTTTTGCGAGGGACGTGGGGGCTTGCTTCTCTTCGAATTGTGCGTGGATGGGGATATCGTGATGAATTGTACTCTTGACGAGCGTACCCTCTGGGAACAAGGCAGAGTCTCCCAATATATATCTTGAGCAGAAAACAACGGTATACGTCGTTATCGCACTTGCTTTTTCCCGAGCACTTGCTGTTGAAAAGCCTCTTGCCCTTGTTCTAGTCCTCTTGTTCCTCTCGAAGTACTTCAATTTGTTTCTTCATCTTCCTTGCACCCCCTCCCCCCCCCCCCCCCCCCCCCCCCCCCCCCCCCCCCCCCCCCC